GGATTGTAAATAGCCACTCAACAAGTCCTCTGAGCCAGGTCAGAAGCCCAAGCAATGAAGATCAGAAACTACACAAAAGCAATTTCCTTTTATTTCGTTTAGGCCATATGAATAACACGGATATATATATAAGCAATGGGCTTGTAAACTTTTTCATGGACTGGTAGCTTTTTTTGACTGATTTGCAAAGCCAATCAAAATCCCCGAGTTTAGTCCTAAAGCCCTGAGGAGGAACAAATCCACCTCTCAAATCCAACATCTTCTAACCTTTAATGATCTCTTACCCCACAACTTACAGGATGAGAAAACTCAGGTGCTCTGTTAGAAAAGGGATGGCGAGGTAAAGGAAGAGGAATAAGAGGGTAATGAATCAGTGTATTTAGCTGCACAGCCTCCACCTCCTCCTCCCCAAACCAGCCATCCTTAGGGATGCAGGCAGCAATTTAAAATTGAGTGGAAAAATATTCTGCTGCACCAGAGTTGACATACCGTCAAACAGCCCATCAGACTCTGTTCAAAGGGCCTCTGGAACGCTCTCGGATCGCCACACCAATCCAGGAGTTCTGTGGCTGCATTGTGGAAGTTGGCAGGATTCTGTAAGTGCTGGGAGAGAAGGGAAATTAAATATAATTAGGTAAATAGATGCTCTCCAACTAAATGTGTTTTAGATTAGGTATTTTATAGGTACAGCTGGCACAGGTTATATACACAGTATCTCATTTTCTCTCTCACAGATATGTACCAAAATCCGTAACCAATCCTGGCACATAACGTCCAACTGTAGTTATTTGACCTGGCTGAATGCCACCATCTGTGCTTTGGCAACTGGACCCAACAGTGTTGCTAATATACACATAGCCTCAAAGTTCTGAAAATTACAATATTTGTCTGCATATTCTCACTAGAATCCTGATAATCCTTTCACACTATGTCTAAAATCAGAGACATAGGCTATGCTTACCAAGTACTCCTTTGTCTATATACAAAGTAATAGAATGAGTTCACGTCCATCTGTTCTCTTTCCTCTTCCTTCTTGGTTACAACATTGATATGCAAAATATGCTAACAGTTCAAAGCTGCAGCATACAAATTGGACTCTCTCTCTCATATGCCATATATCCATTGTGGTCTTTCACAGTACTGAGCACTTTTTTTTTTTTTAACCAATCAGCACTGCAAGGTGCAAGTAGATAAATAGGTACCGCTCCGGCGGGAAGGTAAACAGCGTTTCCGTGCGCTGCTCTGGTTCGCCAGAAGTGGCTTAGTCATGCTGGCAACATGACCCGGAAGCTGGACGCCGGCTCCCTTGGCCAATAAAGCGAGATGAGCGCCGCAACCCCAGAGTCGGCCAAGACTGGACCTAATGGTCAGGGGTCCCTTTACCTTTACTACGCATTTCTTAGCCAGTGAGATCTGGCTTTACTGGGTCTGCCTCAGTCTCCCAGGCTAACTAACCTGCCCATGCCAGGATGATGAAAGGTGGTGCGAGCCTTCCTGAGCTATTCGAAGGAAGGGAGAGGTACAATAGTAATAAAGTGGAAAAAAATAATAAATGGAGGGAAACTACTGCATCTAAGTATTTCAATGACGATGACATAAGTGAACATATTGAAGATTACAGAAGAAAGATCACACTGCTTCTCCACCCTAGCAGAAAAAAGAATTTATCTCCTATTATGCCTAGGAGGAAGAAGTGAATTTGTGCCTGATGGACACCTGCTGAGTTAATGCATTCTTCACTATCTCATTCTCTGTGGGACTGACCAAATCACAGCCATGTTCTACGGAGTTCGGTTTCTGCCCTTTTACATCAAAGTACTCTAACCATGAAAATTATTAAGAAATTTGGAAGATGGAAAGGATTTTGCCCTTAAATCTCTACATAATTTGCTTTCAAACCCCTTGAGAAGAGAGCACTGTGATGGATGTTTATATATTCCATCTCTTTCCCTATCTTAAGTAATTTCTACAAGTACTTGGTATTCACTTCAGTAACTAAAGTTCTGTATATTCCTTTGGTGCTTATACAGTAAATGCAAACATAATATGATATGTACCACAACAGAGGACTATACTGCATATATATCATACAATACATAAGGGCCTACCACACAGTAACTTCAACTGGAAAGGTGGGAGCGGCAGTGCTGTGGGCTTCTTAACAGTCCATTGGCAGTAATGCTCACTTAACAATGATTCAGAACAATTTTGGGGGGGGTAAAGCCAATGTAGTTAAACTAGGGGAACACTAAAATACATTTCTAGAATAGAAAAGCCGTAGACTAGCTATATAAAAGACACATTCTCACCCCTACCATCTACTGAGTTGTTCTCCTGAGAAAGGAAACACTGCTATAGTTAGTAGTAAGAGAAACATCCACTTCTCCTTTTTGTTCAAATTCTGCACCAGGAAAATTATTAATCAGTAAAACTAAAACAAAGAACTATTCTTCTGCATCCTGTGGTGCAATTTGCATACTGTATCCTTACTCTTACCTTATCATTTTGACAGAACCTGACTTTTTAGAGGGAACAAAGAGTGTGGACAGTAGGCATATATAAGGAGATGTAACTCAGCTAACTGGAGTGGCATAATTGTCAAATCTGAGCTGCGATCGGGAAGTCCCTTGGTTAAATTTCACTTCGTGCCCTAAGTTACTGTTCCCTCAGCCCACCATCTAAATAAAACATAATACTGTTAACTGATATGTCATAATGATTACCAAGGTAATGTAAGTTAAATGCTTTGAACATCTGCATTATGCCTCACATAAATACTATTACTACAGAGGTGGGTTTAGGGCAGCATGACTGGTTCTGCCGCACTGGGTGCTGAGCCTAGGGGGTGCGCAGGGCACCACAACTATGACATAGTGAAGGCAGGAGGCAGGCACTGAATGTTGGCCTCGCACAGGGCATCGCTGAAATTTGAAAGACCCAAGTCTGCCCCGATTATTATGCTTATTGGTGTTATACTTTGGCAGGAGAATTTGCCTCTCTTCAAGGCAGTGCAACAACTCACCCCATGAATATAAACAGAGCCTGCAGGTGTCAGTACCCAAATATTTCAGTATAGATGTTGGAAAAGGATCTGTTGATTGAATCAGCTTAAATTCAGTGCTTTCCCACAGTAAATCCATAATGTAGACTCTCCTCAATTTCAACTTAGCTGCAATTTCTATGCTGAGCAAGTGAAGCCTATTTGGTATTAAGGCTTGTCTGAACTATGTGGGGTTCTGTGTGTACAGAATACCTGGTGCTTGGTAGTCTGCTGAGCATTTTCCAGACAACATTACTCTAGCAAGAGCTTCTACTGTTTAGGAGTATTGTGTTAGGAGTGAGTATTACGGTTCTGGACGTTCAAACCCCTATACTGAATTGCTGAAATTGCACTTTGCATTTCTATGTGCACAGTTCAATATATGTGAAAGTGCTAGATGGGATAGGAGTAATTCTGCAGGAATCCTGGGGGAAGCTGGGAAATTGTCCATGGAATTCACCCCATCCCCCATATTTTTCCATGTGAATTGTGAATGAATGCAATAGAGGTCAAATTGGACAAGTGGAATGACTACAATGGGCCTGTTCATATTTAACAAGCCATGGCTAAATGATTTACTGGGAGTATGCCTGATTACTCTTACTTTGCTCCTTCCCAGGTGCAACTGGGAGCAGCCATAAACCATGGTTTGTTGTTATATCTGAACTGTGATCATAGTTTCTCCCTAACAAATCATTATCATCATAAAGTCAACAGCAAATCATGGTTTCATGTTGAGTAGTGAGCATGGTTTGTTCAGGAGACATAAACCATGATCCTGGGTCTGAACATAACAACAAGCCAAGGCTTAATGGCTTGGTGCTCCTGTTTGCAGCAGCGTAGGAACAAAGCACGAGTGATCCTGACAAGCCATTAACTGTGGTTTATCATTATGTGCAAACAAGGTCAATGTTAGCCAAAGTTCTAATTAACATTTTTTCAGGTGACTACCCCAAGGAAGCACACAAATTTATGTGCACAGCTCTTGAGGCTTGCTAAAATAGTATGTTAACAATTCTCAGTTTCTTAATGTCTTTTTTTCATAAATCTAAATGTAACAGTTGTCATGCCTTAAAACGCTTAACATGATTTTCCAAGTGGAAAACTGAACATTTAAACCACACTAACTACACTTTATTGATTCTTTTTTTCCTAATCAAGTATTTCTGTTCAAATACTTCTGGGAAATCCTTTCAGGTGTTTTTAGTTGCGCTTACTAAATGTAAATCGAATAAACATGCTAAATCAAATCTCCATCAATTTAGGGTAGCAGAATACTTTCTGGAAAACTTTCTGATTCACTTTTTTCTGCAAACCGTACTTCGCTGAAAGTGAGGCTATTGCCTGCGACACCCCACAAGACTAGCAGCGCTACAGCTCCTCTAACCACCCCAATGCCATTTATTTGTATAGTACTTTAAAAAAAAAAATCAGTCAAGGGGGTGACTTCTCTCTTACTGCACTGTAGTTGGAAAACCTTCATTAATATCCCTACCCCAAGGTGGACTCCTTGGCAGTGCAAGCTTCAACACGCAGCGTCTTTCGCTGTTGTGCATAGTTGGGGCTGGGGGTAGGAAGCCAGGATGCAGATGACTTGGCTGGATCAGGAAAAAGGCAAAGGCAAAGAGCCAGGGAGCAGGCAAACAGACCAGACAGTATTCAGGGAGACATGGGGCTGAGCAACAAGACAAAGGAAAACAAATGACTCAGCAAGGCACAGACATGAAGCTTGAAGCAGGAGCCCAACAGGAGCTGCTGAGAGACTAGAGCCAAAGAAAGCAAAGAAATTACAGTGGCCTCATATGAGCTTACATTCCAAGGCAGAGCAGATCTGATGGCAAACGGGGCACAGAGAGTGGGGGCACGCTGCAGGAGTGTGTTGAAATGTCTTAGAATCATAGAATTGTAGAGTTGGAAGGGACCCTGAGGATCATCTAGTCCAACCCCAGGAAAATGTAGCTACCCAATGTGGGAATTGAACCTGCAACCTTGGTGTTATCAGCACCATGCTGTAACCAACTGAGCTATCCAGGCTAACATCCAGACTGGAAAGGGCAGGGAAAGAGAAGAATTAACACAATGGCACAACACTTTCAACAGACCAAGGCCCTAAAACACTGAATTCAAATGTATGTATGCACTGAGTTTTAAGAAGCCAATAAAAATAGAACTTTTGCAGATTGAAATCTGAAGGGCAACACAGAGGTAGGTAGAGAACCTACCTATAGTGCAGAATGAAGTTTGAGATGTGTGACAAGAGACACTTCTTTAAGCAGAGAAGACAAAACAGATGGTATCACATGCCAATATGTTTTCGATTCTGCACAAGAGCAGTAATAGTTCAAATGAAGAGCACTCAGGGCTCAAGTTATCTTATCAAGGCACAAAAGAATGACAGCAACAATATGGAACAAAATAATCACACTGCAAGCTCTCTGCTTAGCTTGATTTGCTGCTGAAGGAAATAAGTGCAGAATCTTAATACAGGATAATGCATATTTGGGGGCAGGGTATTTTTCTTTTCTTTGAAACATGTCAGACTCTGAAGACATGGAGCTAATTTGCCATATCTTAACTGCTCCTCAAAAGGAATGTCATGCAAATATGGCCTGTTTGAGTAGCAAACTACTTAACTATGCTAAACAAGTTATTGCATTTATTTATGGGATGCCGTGCCAAATTATGAAGGCTGACTCAAGCTGCCTGTTTGTTTTGCCCAGTTACATCTGCTCTGCTTCTTGCTTTAATTGAACTGCTAAACAGCAACACAACTAATGATGTGGGTGCTGAATGAGTGCGTTTGCATTTACGTCAATCAAGGGTCGCCTAGGGCCCCTTCATATATTGCTGCAGTGGCATGGAAGCTGCTTTCTGAGGGTTTTTTCCTCTGCTGCCACGGTACTACTTAGGAATCCCAAAACACATGGGTGGGGCCAATCATGTGGGCTGATGATCTGGTAGAAAGGACCTGTGAGGCTGGAGCCACACACATGCTTGCAATATTACTGGGGTGTTCATAAGAAGATGCCACAGGGAAGCAGCCCCAACATTGCCATGGAATGCCCTCCCATCAGATGTCAAGAAGATAAAGAACTACACAATTTTTAGAAGACATCTGAAGGCAGCCTTCTTCAAGGAAATTTTTAATGTTTGATGTTTCATTATGTTTTTATATGTGTTGGAAGCTGCCCTGAGTGGTTGGGGCAACCAAGCCAAATGGGTGGGGTATAAATATAATATAAAATAAGGTAAGATAAAATAAAATAAAATAAAATAAAATGAATAATAATTGTAATGTATGAAGGAACCGGTCGAGTAATAAAATTACATACACAGTCAACCATTAGGAAAGCAGTGGGTGCCAGCCTCTCCCCAAAACTACTTGAATGACACCTCAAATTCACCCATACAAACCACTCAGAAAGAAAAAAGCAATTGCTACCAATCACCGTCAACCTTTCAAAAAATCTTGGCATTGAGTCTCAGTGTCTAAAAGTCACCCCCCCACACACAAATGGAGGGAAGTAGTTTGTTTCTTTTAAACTGTATTTTTGCCACTGTCTGGCAGCAACATTAACAAAACTCTTCTGAGTGTCTGATGACTGGTGTCTGCTATTCCCATTCTCTATTATTTTACATCACAATGTAGCATCTTTCCAAAGGATTTTCTTGGGTGTGGGGATTGATAAAAGTGTAACCGTGATAATGGATATGCCTTTAAGCTGCAATCCTATGCAAACTTCCTTGAGAGTAAGCAATGGAGCTTACTTCCAAATAATGCGCATCTAGGATTTGGCTGAAAATAATGTCAAAGGGACTCGGGTGGCACTGTGGGTTAAACCACAGAGCCTAGGACTTGCCGATCAGAAGGTTGGCGGTTCGAATACCCGCGACGGGGTGAGCTCCCATTGCTCGGTCCCAGCTCCTGCCAACCTAGCAGTTTGAAAGCACATCAAAGTGCAAGTAGATAAATAGGTACCGCTCTGGCGGGAAGGTAAATGGCGTTTCCGTGCGCTGCTCTGGTTCGCCAGAAGTGGCTTAGTCATGCTGGCCACATGACCCAGAAGCTGTACACCAGCTCCCTCGGCCAGTAAAGCGAGATGAGCGTCGCAACCCCAAAGTCGGTCAGGACTGGACCTAATGGTCAGGGGTCCCTTTACCTTTACCTTTAATGTCAAAGCAGCTGCGATTCAGCCACCATTGCTAGTGAGCATCTGATCATGAATTTCGTGTGTGTGAGAGAGACAAAGTGTGGGTCTGAGAGAGAGTCAAATAAAATGTTAGATGTGAATATAATGGTTTTCTCTGGACCAAAAGAAATCCATAAAGGGCTTGCAAATCACTCACTGTAATTCTTAATGTAGCTTTTTATTAGTCCAAAGCCCCAGACATTAAGAAGCTGTGTTAGCAATCAGAGTACTGTGATCTCAACCCCCTTCCATTGTATGCACAGGAAACAGTTCATTCACAAAGTCTTTCCCTTCCTCACTCCCTGACATTAATTTCCCTGGCTACTACGGAACTAAAATGGGACAGCAGGCTGAGATACTGGAAAGCATTTTTGATATGGATGTTCAGGACACAATTCTTTGTATTATGTTTGAACAACATTTTGACCCCTAGACCCCTTTTAAAAGAAGGTAGGAAAGATGTAACACACCCTGTAATGCAATCTATCTGCCTTAACTATTGAGATACCACCACAAAACATATTACACACATTTATGACACAATCCTCTATGAAGCTTGTTGCAAGCAAAAGATCAAACATGGCCTACAATGCAATATCTGAAGCAAGCCTTCTCAAAACATTGTATTTTGCTATTTTATTTCAAGTTAAACCCATGCAGACCCTGAATATTTCCTCTATAAGTGTGAGAGTATGCGTGATCAAATAGAAGTTTATCTGTGATCAAATGGAGGTTGGCAGAAGAATGGGTATGGGTTTTGAAAGGGGCATGATACCCAGTATTTGATACATTTAGCTCAATCCTATAAAAGGGAAGCACACTCAATTTAATGGGGCTTACGCCTAAGAAAAATAGTCCATAGGGGCTGCAGCCTATATACTCAAATCAGGCTGCCCAGGCATTGAATAAATGGATACCTTGGGCTCAGTCTTTCTGCTTTTGCTCAGGAGATGGTAGAAGCTCTCAATGACTAGAGCCTTCCATTAAACATGGAAATAATGACACTATCCTGGGATGTGCAGTCGTAAATTTGTTCTAGGCTGCACTCTTAGTTTATGCAGTGCAACTGTGAAGCCCAGCAGAAACCATAATGAACAGTGCACCTAGAAGTTGGCTCTACACAGGAGCATCTGCAATGTGTGAGGTGGGGGTTGGCAGAGAAGACTGCTGGCCAGGTTCACACATCACTGGTAAGCCAAGGCATGGCTTACCACCACAGTGTAAATGTGCAGTGACCCAGTGAGAAGCTCACACCCACTTTGCTCCTTTGCAGGCTTTTTATCTCACTGTGGGACAGCAGCTAAGTCAAGATGTTTTGGCTTAGCATGCCATCTGAACCCAGAACACATGGTTAAAGTTTCTCCTCCTTAACCTCAATCTGTAGCACAAACCTTGGATACAGATCATGGTTAAAGAGGAGAGGCCAAACCTTATGCTGGATGCAGTGCTATGCTAAAAAGTCCTGGGAGGAGCAAAGTGGATGCTATTTCCTCCTCAGGAGCCAGCACATTTGTGCCAAGTCCATTTGGCTTATCATGATGTGCAAATGCAACCAAAGAGGGGGATATTCAGTGAAGTTAAAAGTCTGAAAGCCTCTCCCACAGATGATACTGAGCTGAGCAAAAGCAAATTAATTAGGTACTATGTGAGATCCCAAAAGTGTTGAAGAAGTCAAGCAGCTCCGCTGCAATAGTCTAGTTATGAAGTTGAAGCAAATTTAGATTCTGGAGACCTGTGACAGTTCCTCTTCAGCAGCAGAATGCACAGCTCCTTACAGAAAAAAGATGCATTGCAAGAAGGTTTGATCAGTCACAGAATAGGTACAAGTCTGAGGACGCAGTAAGAATAGCAAAAATTAGAGAGTGATTAAAATTAAATTAAATTACAGGAGGAGGGGAAACCAATCCTGAGCAGACAAACTGGTCACTACTGCCTTACGACATTATTACAGTGAAGCAAGGAAGGACTTATATGACAAACTGTCACCATGATTCTAACAACAGATATTTGGAAATATATGAATGAGACTGAGAGTCACTTGTCACTACTCATCAACGTTTTTCTTCAGTACCACATACCAACCTGAACTGCCCAAGGTTGACAAATATCTTCTTTAGGCAAGTGGATTTTTTATGGTTCAAAAAAGAAACTGATAATAGAACCCCCCCCCAACTCCACCTGTTAAAAAAAGACAATGCTGCATCATGGCTAAGAACAGCAGCTGTGGCTCACAATAATCCTTCAAATCCCACTTCTCTCTCATTTCCCCCTCCCCAGCAATTTGAGAACAATACTTACAGACCACTGGTCTAGATTTGTGTGTCCTTCTACATTGGACTACAGTTTTAGCAGAGCTGGGTCCCTGGGATAGGGTATGATATAATCTGAACAAAGACACAACTAAATAAGGTCTCTACCACACAAATAGATTGTTAGCATGTTACCTGAACACTCCTTTCTGGTTTCAATATGATTCAACCTAAGCACACACAAAGCTGAGAAAAATTGGTCTGAATGGTCCTTCTTTGGGGCTGTGGAAAATGGGCTCATTTACGGTCACTTTGGCTTGAACCATGAACTCTTTTTTGAGGGGAACCAGGGGAGTTATCAAACCAGGGCATCATGCTAGCTGTGAATGTGACCACCCTACACTTTAGTGTGTATACAGCCCCCTCCTCAGTTTATCTACACAGAGTCATTGAGAAGGGGGGATTTTTACCCCTCTGAGTTCATCAAATGATCAATCGGAGGACTAGGGAGGGATGGTTTGCATTGCATCAGGGCTACCCCAGCACTACAGCTCCTTTATATTTCTTTTTGCCACCACTGTCAAAATTTGGTGGG